TACCTCTGTGGTTTTACTGACTTGCCTTTAAAATCTAGGAAGGTCAAGGTGAGTTTCCATGCTCAGTGCTACAACTACAGGACAAGAAAGAATGAGGAGATTGCCAAACCCAGAAAGTATCTTGGGGTGTGTGGGGGTGTGGGGGGGGGTTTGCAAGGCTCATTTCCACTCATCTTAAAAGAAGCTGAAAGGTTGCAGCATTTTTGCTCTGGCCTGACTGACGCTGCCTTGTTGGTCAGTGACACACACACACACACACACACACCCGAGGCCTCAAGTGGATACCTGGCTCAGCTTCTCCCGGATTTCCTGCGCGTCGGTGGGCTCTCCGACTCCTCCCCTCAGTTCCAGCCACTTGCCAAGAAGCCGTTCCTGTCGCTGGCAAAACCTCAAAAGACAAGTGAAAGCGGCTCATTAGTCTCGAGAGAGAAGCAACTGAGGCGACGGGCAGAAGGATCTCTGCCCAAAGCTCACGTCGACTCTTTGACAGCGGATGGGATCGTTTCGTTTCGTTTTGTTTTTTTCCCCAAATGAAAGTAACGACAGAAAACAAGCCGTTAATTAGAAAGAGTAAAAGAAACAAATAGAAAATGGAAGGAGGCTAGGTGGCCAAACCTCTTCCAAATTAAACACCTGGCTATTGAGGAGGCTCCTGGGCCTCCACGAACAGAACAGGTCTTGGTTTCCAATCTGCTCTGACGACTAGGCAGCCACCACACACACACACACACACACACAGACAGACAGAGCCACTGCCTTCCATAGTCCCCTGGAGAACGGCTTCCGTCCACCACCAACTTGGCTTCCCAAGGGTGACCACCCGCCCCCCCTCAATGCCACTTCACGGGAAACCTGAGAGGGCAGAGGGGCTGACTCTCTTTAGTGACCGTGGCAGATCAGGCTGGGCCAAATCCTTCCTTGCTGGGAGAACCAAAGCCCCTCCCCCCCCCAGTCAAAGAGACCCCGGCTTGGGCCCCATCGGGCCCTCTATTCCCCCCCCCCCCCAGATGCTCTCAGCACCTCTGAAGGAGCAAGGAGAGGACAGCAGGTTGCGCAAAGCAGGGCAGACAAGAATGGAAGGGGTCGCTCAGTGAATCTGGCTTCCCCAAATCTCTGTGGCTAAGAGAGTTCCTAACCCAAACCTTAACTGTTCCCCCTTTCTTTCTTTCCTCCTTTCTTTTTTCTTTCTTTCTTTCCTTCCTCTCTCTGTCTCTCTCTCTCTCCTTCCTTCCTTCCTTCCTTCCTCTCTCTCTCTCTCTCCCCCCCCTTCCCTTCTTCCCTCTCTCATTCTAAAGCTGGGATACCCACCCAAAACAAAAACTCCTTTGGAAGAAGCCGCCTTACTTACCTCCCACCTCCCCTTTCCGTTGGTTATCAGGGAGGCACCATCAGGTACAGGGGAGCTCCCACCTCTCACCCTCCCTTCTCCTCACAAGCCCCTGAGGCCATTTGGCTGCAGCACCTTCCCAAGTCCCCCCTACCCCCACCCTGCGATGGATCACCCCGTGGCTTCTGGCTGCCAGCATTGGCAGCTAGCCGATTGGCTCCTGGCTAACTCTCCTGGGCAGCCAAAAGTCCGGGACGAACAGCGTGTCGTCGAATGGCCCACGCCGAAGGTCCTGGGGCAGAGGGGCCGTGGCCAACTGGCTGGGGCAAACAGCTAGCACAGGGCCAGCCGAGTAGAAAAGCTAGAGGTGAATGCGGGGAGGCGAAATGCTGGCGGAGAAGCGGGTGTGGCCAAGGGTTGGGGCCAAAAAGTCCTAGATCCGGCAAGAACCGGGCTGTGCAGCATCCATCCAGCCTCCCAGTGCTACAGGAGGCGGCCGGAGGTGCCCTCTGAGCTTGGTTGTATTTATGCAGACGTTGCATTACCCACACTAGGTAACATCACCAGTGCAAGGGGGGAGCAGGAGGAGGAGGAGGAGGTCTTCGGGACCATCCTCCACAGCCAAGAGATTTGTCCGGTTCAGATTCTTCTACAAGCTGCAAAGCAGAAAGTGACCCCTGGATTGGAAGGGAAAGGCGCTTGTGCTACGCACTTCAGTTCCTGCTGCTGGCTGTAGTAACGGTGCATCTTCTGCCCGATGCGTTGCAGCTCCTCCTCCAGCTGCTGAATTTCAGTCTTTCCTCGCTTGGCTTCTAAAAGGAAAAGAAGTAACTTGCTCAGCGTTTGTAACGGTCTCTCCTCCGAGAAATTGTCTCTGGGACTTTGCCAAAATCGGTGCAGGCTTGTAAGCGCCACTCCCGGTGAATCAGCTGTCCGAATCCCTTCCAAAGGCTCTCCCTGCCTCTCCGGACTCCAGGAATGTTTCCGCCCCGCCAGTGATACTCCTGCCTTTCCCTGTCGAGGGTCTCCCTTATTCGCCACACGTCCCTTCTAGGAAGCAGGCAAGGGAAACGGTCCTTCTGGAAGTGAAATTCCAGCATTACCTGCTTTTCGGCAAAGAGGAGGACGACTCCCTCTCGTAAAATCTTCGGGGGCCAGCAAAGGCCCCCTGGAGACCACGGCTGGCCTCTCCCTGCCGGAGGCTGCAGCCAGAGGGTGGAGGGAGGGCTGGGGAAGGGCAAAAGAGACCGTCACGCTTGTGGCTCGGAGCTGGGCTCGCTGGTCCCACCTGAAGCCCCCAGGAGGCCCTTTGGGTTGAGTGCCTTGGCCACCAGCCTCTGGACCCTGGAACGGCACAATCCAGACCCCGAGCCCCCCTCCACCCCCCAGGGAAGAAGCCAGGGGAGCAGCGGAGCAGAGATGCTCCTTTGCAGATGCTCACCGTCTCAACACTCGTCCTCTTTGTCCCCAGCGTGAAGGAGGAGGGGGGCCGCAGCTCTGGGGCAGCACCGTGCAGCCAAGAAGCCCTGGGGGGCCCAGATTTGGGGAAGGAACAAGAGGAGTAACCACAGCTACTGAACGGCGGGGGTGAAGGGTCGATGCTGGGGGGGGCAGATAAGTGGGGGCCTGCTGCCGCTGGCTGAGGAAAACCAGCTGAGCTCTCCAGCCTGCGGGGGAGGAATATTGGCTAGTTTTTGTACAAATACTCAGTGCTCTTCCAAAAACTTCTATGCATGCACGCCTCTGCCTTTCCTAGGTCTTTTTGCCACAGATGGAAGCAAAGCCATCGCTCGCACACACACACACAGAGAATGGACTATGCTGACAACTAGCCATGCCCAGTGCTGGCTTTCTGTCCAGTGACAAGCCCTCCTTGGAAATCGGCCAGGGATGTTGGTCCCTGAAAGGAGTGTGCTTTGCACAACTGATTTGTTATTTGTTTGTGGGTTATTATTTAACAGGTTCTAATTTAGCCATCATAAAGTGGCTTATCTAAAGAGGAAGCTGGGATTCTGCAACTGGAGGTTGGAACACATTTATTCACGTGGCAGGATTTGGCTAACGGTACCGATACTGATCAGAGCTCCAACCTTGGGATGGCGAGTCAGAGTCACTCTGGCCTGCTGGTGTTTGCAAAAAGAGAAGGAGGCCACCTCACCCGGTAGACCAGACAAGAAACCACACCAGATGAGCTAATTCTACTCTACCGTTTAAGGCTGCATTAGCAGAATTTTGCAAGCCTGAAAGTACAAACTCCTGAGGTCTCCTTTACTGCCTCTTTTCTCTGCCCATTACGCAGGTGTGTCCTCCCTTATTTCTTCAGCCCGTCTGCCAAGGTCTTTCCCACATACCATTACGGTATCTTTGCAGTTCCTTGAAGCGTATGTTTTGACTGGGACGCCCGAATGTTTGCCTCCACCTGAACTCTGGACCCAAATCAACTTGTGAGCAGGCCCAGCAAGAATGACAGAAAAGAGACTAAATCATGAGGGCCAGAAACCTGACCTGGCTTCTTGCCGCTGTCCTTGTTGTCCACTTACCACTTCCCTGGATGCGGTAGCCCCCTTTTCTCAGGAAACGGTATCAGGAAATCAGGTCGACGAGGCTGCAGCCTCGCCTGGCGAGTGGCATACCTGTGGGCAGGAGTAAAGCCCTGTTTGCCTGGCATCCCCAGGGCAGCTGCCCACCAGCAGGACCCCTGCAAAGCAGCTTTGCACAAGCCGATGGGTTGCCCTCCTCCACCCCCCAGGACCGTTATCCGGGACTATGGGGTGGCCAGGGGAAAAGGCAACGCCCAGCCCAGGTTCAGGAAAAGGCTGTGGAGGAAACCAGCTCCCAAGGGTCGCCTCCTGCCTCCTCTGAGTTGCAGCCTTGAGGCTAATACGAGGCTTCCCACCACCAGCCCACCGATTCATGGCCGACGGTTCAGGCAGGACACCCAGGAGGCCTCTCTCCCCGGTCAGAGAGAGGGGATGCTGGAGAAAGGGGCTTCAAGGATCTGGGCACAGGGGAAGTGCTCTGTTGCGGACACCCGGTCTCCTCTCGCTCCTCCTTTGCGGGGGAAACTGCACTCCGCGCACGTTGCAAGCCAAATTGGAGCAAACCGCGCGATGCAGCTGCTGAAAAATCCAGCCCTTGGCAGCATCAACCAAAGTACAGGATCCCAACTAAGAGAAGGCACAGCGCCTCTCCGGGCTAAAATAGGGATGTGGCAGGGAGCACCCGGGGTCCCGTTCTGGGCAGTGCAATTTAGGAAGGAGTTGGCAAACCAGAGCTGTGATGAGAAGGGCCCCCCAGGGTCTTCAGCATGGAAGAAAGAAGGTGGTGGGAAGATTGGGGGGCGGGGGGGAGAGCATATTCATCCCCATGGCTGCATCTGCCACGTGGGAAGATGGGGCAGAACTGCTCAGGGTTGGTCCAGATATGGCTTCAAATTAGGAGGTTGTTTCCACAGCCTCACTGCGGGAGCTGCTCCTTACTGGATCTGAGGCAGTGGGTTCTCCTTTGCAGGAAATGTGGATGCTCTAAGAGTGGGGCTCTGTATTGGACAGGGGTTGGACTGGATGGCCTCTGAGATCCCATCCAACCCTTCCATTCTCTGGATTTCTGACTCACAAATCTGTGAGGATGGAATCTCCAGCAGCCTGGTAGTCCCTTGGCACGCCGGGAAGGTTGGCCTGTCCCCTGGGGATGCCAGGAGGGAGATGGCCCAGCCTTGGCACCTCGAAAGTCACGTGCTTCTTGGTGGGAGCGCCTGAACAGGCCAGGCTGGGCTTCCGGGACAGAGCCTTCTGCTTCCACATCATGGCACAGCGGTAGACCAACTGGTGACGCCGACAGGCAGCCTGCAAGCACAGAGCAGGAGGGGCTGGTCTCGCTGGCACGCCGGTCCCGGACCCCGAGCTCCACCCGGGAGTGAAAAGCCCGCCCCAAGCAGAAGCCCCACCCCCTCCAGCTGTCATCCGACTGGGCGGGGCCCCAAATCCACTGGCACCGTCGTGGAGTGAGAGACGCGCTTGCCAGCCGGGCTCCGGCGTCACCTGCAGCTGCTGCTGGGCTTGCAAGCCCCCTCGCTGCTGCTTCATGGAGGCCACGTATCTCAGGATGCGGCAGATGCCCTCGCGCAGCAGCTCCGCCTGATAGCTCTCGGCCGCCCGTGCCATCCGGCCCTTCTTCCGCACCTGCTCCCGCACGAAGCGTCCCCAGGCGCCCAGCACCTGCAGCCGAGACAGAGCAGGGCAGCCTGGAGAGCGGCGTCCCCCTCGCTCACCGTCCTGGTGCCCCCAGGAGGGGCTGAGAGGAAGGGCTCACTGGGTGCCCCCCCACCGTGCTGGCCAGCTTGTGCAACGAAGGCCTCTCCTAGCCGGGTGGGAGCTGCCCTCTGCCGTCTGTGACCAAGGGAAACGCGGTCTTTGCTCTGGGAGACCTTAGGAACCGTGAGCAGAGGGGCTCTTCTCCTTTTCTGACTGTCATCGTAAGAGGGGGACAATGCAGGCAGACCGGGATAAACCTTTCAGAAATGTCGGATGCGCCATCAGGCAGCTTGGCTGCGGCCCGGCAGCAGAAACTGAAGGCCACAAGGAAACCCGATGGAGCAACTCTAGAAACGAAGAATCCGGGCGTTCCCACCCTGGGCAGAATCTGGCTCGGAAGGACAGTCATACCCCGAGAGCTTCCCGTCCCTCTAATCCCCAAGAGTCTGGAGGGGGGAAAGCAGAGAAGTCACATCTAGGAGGAAACTCAAGTCAGGAGGTTTGAGGTAGGCGGATACAATCGAGATCAAGGGAGGCACTAATGCCACTCTAGGAAGGCCACACCTGGAGTCCCGCGTCCCGTTCTGGTCTCCACACTATAAAACAAGATGTTGAGACTCTAGAAAGAGTGCAGAGAAGAGCAACCAGGAGGATGAGGGGACTGGAGACTAAAACATATGAAGAAGGAACTGGGCTTGGCTAGTTTAGGGAAGAAAAGGACCAGGGGAGACAGGATAGTAGTCTTCTAGTATTAGAGGGGCTGCCACAGAGAGGAGGAAGGGGTCAACCTATTCTCCAGGGCACCTGGAGGCCAGACAAGGAATAATGGACGGAAACTGAACAAGGAGAGATTCAGCCTGGAAATCAGGAGGAATTTTTCTGACAATGAGAACAATCAACCCATGGAACAGAAGTTGCCTTCGTTAAGTTGTGGGAGCTTCATCAGTAGAAGCTTTCAAAAAGAGACTGGGCTGTCATCCGTCAGGAACGGTGTAGGGTCTCCTGCTTGGGCTGGGGGTTGGACTAGATGACCTACGAGGTCCCTTCTGACTCTGTTAATCTCTTAGGAGGCCGAAGAAGAGAGCAGCTGCTTCCAGGGAGCTGAGGGCCTTTGTGCGTGCAAGAGGCAAGTACGCAAGGCCATCGGCCAAGCCAGGGAGAAACAGACTCTGGTTCTAGGCGGCTTGGACAGCCCTGCCCCTCCCTCTCCCTCTCCCTCTCCCTCTCTCTCTCTCTCTCTCTCTCGGCAGACCCAACAACTGTTCCTGCACAAACTCTTCTCTTTACCTTTGGCCTCTTTTACTCACTGACTGCGGAATTGCTGCTCCACAGCACTGGACAGGATGTGACCTTTGTATGCGTTGCTATCACCTGTTGAACACTGATGCTCAGATTTGAAAAGATACGCGGGTTGAGAAGATTATGGAGGCAGTTTCCTGTGGTTCCTAACAGAGTGTTGCAAGCCTCTTATCTATCTATTTGGCATGCTGACAAATATTAACCTCGCTGGATGTAGGAAAAACTCTCAGCGGAGTATGCTGCATTAAATGTTTGCAAACCTAACTTTTCAAAATTCACAACAAGTGGTCATCAACAAGATGGAAACTGACCAAATAAGTTGCCTCATTTCAATATCCTGCTTTTTTCTTTTACAATCAGAACTGGATAGAATGTAGATGCTTTAACTTTTGTTTGGTTGCTTTTGGGTTTTTTTTTTTTTTAAAAAAAGGTTTATCTATGGTTTTCTGTTCCAATGTTTTGCCATTTTCTTTCTTATCTGGATTTCTTCTTTGATGTAGCCAACATAGCATAATTATACAGCTTTACATCCATTCAGTGATGATTTAGGGGACTGGAGGCTAAAACATACAACGAATGGTTACAGGAACCGGGCCTGGCTAGTCCAGTGAAAAGAAGGACCAGGGGAGACAAGAGAGCATCTTCCAATATTTGAGGGGCTGCCCCAGAGAGGAGGAGGAGGGGGTCGAGCTATTCTCCAAGGCACCCGAAGGCAGGACATAAAGCAATGGATGGAAACTAACCAAGGAGAGAAGCAATCTGGAACTATGGAGAAATTTTCTGACAGTAATCAAGCCATGGAACAGCTGAAGTTGCCTTCGGAGGTTGTGGGAGCTTCATCCCTGGAAGCTTTCAAGAAGAGACTGGACTGCCATTTTTCAGAAACAGTGTAGGGTCTCCTGCTCGGGCAGGGGGTTGGGCTAGATGACCTACAAGGTCCCTTCCAACTGTCTATTTCTTATTTTTTCTATTTCTATTCTACTCCATTCCATATTCTGTTCTGTTCTGTTCTATATCTCTCTCCTCTCCTCTTTACTTCTACTCCTATTCTAGACTGATACCTAATTTTTAAAGAAACATCAACAGCGAAAAGCTTTGTCAAACTAAGAACGGGCTAAGTTCTGTGGCTCTCTGTCAGGGTTGGGGGTGGCGAGTGCCCCCTCAGAGCGACACAGGCTCAAGACTCCCTGCATGAGGAAATGTAGCATTTGAGAGAACGCAGGTGAGCTGCCTGTCCTTCTGTGGGTGTGTTGGCCGAGGGAGGGCGGCTTCTCTGGTCCAGTCCAGTTGGAATTTGGGCAGGTTCTGAGTCAGGAATCTACAGAGACTCCCTATCATCCAGGTCATGGCAGGGTTTTTTTTCCCTCCAAAAGGCAACTGGACTTCCTTTCTTTTTTTCCTTGAAAGCGTTTCGCTTCTTGTCTTCAGAAGCTTCTTCAGAACCGGAGGAGCTTCTTGAAAGAGGAGCGAAACATTTTCAAAGCAAAACACCAAGAAAGTCCAGCTGCCCTTTGGAAAAGCAACACGGGGGGTGTCTGAACACAGCGCCCAGCGCCCACCCACCCCGCCTCCTTCGCACAGCCTCTCAGGACCACCAATGGGGCTGGAAAGAGAGGACCGGGGGGGCCGCCGGTGGGCTCCAGTCGGCTGAGGGAGCGGGGGCTGGGTGCTCAGGGGGCCAAGACTGACCTTCCGCTGGAGGATCCGCGACCAGTGCCAGAGGGCCTGCACCGTCTGCTGCCGCTCTCGCCGTCTGTCCGCCAGCTGAAGGTGCAGAAAGAGGGCAGAAGGGCCACGCTGACCGCCAGCGTCCACAAAAGAAGCCCTCCAGGGGCTGCAAGACCAAAGGGGAAGGGGCCCCTCTCTCCTCACCCCAGGAAACCTCCACTCCTGGCCAGCCTCAGCCTCTTCCTGCCCTGCTTGGAAGGGAGCCGGGGGCCAAAGTGGGTGCTGGGGGCCCGAGCTCACCTGTACCTTCCAGAAGGCAAAGGCGGCTGCAGAAAGTCTCCGGGCCAGTAGCTGCTCCCCTTGTCTCTGCAGGAGCTACGGGAGGGAAAACACAGCCTGAAGACCCCTCCTCCCCATCTGGAGGGGGGGGGGTGAGGGCTGCTTCCGGCTGCTCCGGCGGCTTTTCCCAAACGGAGATGGTTAATCGCAATGTCAGCCTTCAAGACTCCTTCCTTTCGCTATCTTTTCGGCTGCCGTAGTAACGGGGGGAGGGTGAATCAGTCGGGCCTTGTGGGCTGGGAAGTGTGCTGGAGGCTTTAGAGAATGAATTGTATAACTCGGGGGAAAAACTTCCTTGTTTATCCTTATTCGCTTGCTTACAGTGCAACTGCAGCTCTTTCTCAAAGTTGGCCAAGGTCAACGGCCAGATGTCTGCCTCACCCCCCGAAGATGCTCCGTATGACCGTATACGCATCTTCAGTTGGATGGACTATTTGAACTATTGTGCGTGGGAACGTTGCCCTTTTTATATGTGCTTTCCACGCGTAAACCCTCAGATCTAGAATCCTTTTCATGCTGCCACTTGATTTCCAGTAAAAGTTTCTTTTCTCTGTGATAATGGAGTCTAAGGGCGTCTTTCTTGGATTTTGGATGGAGCACCACCTGACTTGATTCTCGATCTGACCATCCGACGCTCGGCTTCGTTCCCTCCCAGCGCCCCCAAATGGCTCCACTGTTTCAAGGGGTTTCCCCCACAGTGCAACCCCAAACCCTCACCCGGTGGAAAGGCCACACCTGGCCAGAGAGGACCTCTCACCCCTGCTTCCCCCCCCCCAAAAGAGGGAACCTCCTCCCGGGAAGGGAAGGGACTCACCATGGCTCTGATGCGGCCGAGATGATCTTGCTTCCACTTCTCCAGGCACCAGCCGAGCAGCTGCCTCCGGTGGTGCTCGGCCGCCACGGTGAGCTGCCCCTTCTGCTGGGAAGAGCTGGCAGAGGCCTCCCTCCAGCGGAGAAATAGCCCCCGTAGCCTCCCTGCAGGGAGAAAGGATGGCTCAGCTGCTGTGACAGCCCCCGGGCCCTGCCTCACTCCTTGGCTGGGAAGGCGGCCAGACCTTGGCAACGTTAAGACTCGTGGGTTTCAGCTCCCAGAATCCCCCAGGCAGCTGTGGGGGAATGCTGGGAGTTGAAGTCTACCGGTTGTCAAGTTGGACAGCTCTGCCCTAGAAGCAGAGTGGCCACTTCCAGGACTCTGCCCTGTGCCCGTCTGGCGTCACCCCACTGCCGACTTAGATAAGGTGAGAAAGGAAGAGCAAGCGGGGGCTGCTCTTCCTTTCCACTCCTCCCACCCCAACTCACAAGCCTCATCAACGCACAAGCCAAACCCCAGAGCGGCCTCCGCTCACTGGGACAGGCTTGCAAAGGATCCCTGGGCCTGAGAGCCGAGCATCTGTTTAGCAAGCTGTGTGGATTCTGCGTCAGGTCCTCCAACGCACTTAGTTCAAGTAGCAAAGAAGACCGACTCCTGGCTCCTTTCTTTTCCCAAGAGTAGCCTTTGCTGAGAACAGAGCGGTTACAGATGAGACGGGAAGGATCTGTTGGCTTGGCCCCAAAATCAATTAATGCAATTAACTCCCCCCTTTTCCCTGCCCCCCCCGCCCCCCACTATCAATCAAGGTCCAATTAAAAGTTCTCAGGTTGTTTTGGAAAGGGACCCTGCCTTTGATCACGCCTTTCCCGTCTCCACATTCCTTTGGCTGCTCTCGTGTCAAGCTGGCAAAAGATGCAGTGCGAAGCATGCAAGCAGCCAAACATCAGCTAGGACAACCATCACTGAATGCCGAGGTTCTCCTCCCGGGAAGTCTCCTACTTAGGCCAACACGGCAACCGTCTTCTCTTGACCCAGATGTTCCAAAGGTGCTTTTCCAAAAGACAACCGCTAAGAAAGTTTTTTTTTTCCTTTAAAATACTTCACTTCTCATCCCAGAGGCTTCTTCAGATCTACAGCTCCCTGGATGACACCCCCCCCAAAAAAACCCCCAAAACCGTTTTCAGGGATACAAAGAAAGTCCTGCTGTCTTTTGGATAAGCACCTTGGGGGGAACCATGGAGGATACAGAATCTCCACAGACTCCTGACCCAGCTCCAAATTTCAGCTGGACTGAAATGGAGAAGCGACTCTCGTGCTGCTCCAAGCTTGGTAACTTGAAGACTGGTGGACTTCAACTCCCGGAATTCCTCAGCCGGCAAAGCCTCCCCAAAAGTCTTCAAGTTGCCAAGGTTGGAGGCCCCTGCGCTAAAGGCATCAAAAGATGTTCACGCAGCTCTGCCTTCGGCCACCCCCCCCTCCACAGGAGAAAACCTGCCCTGTAATAATGGTGGGCTTTAACCTCATTGCTGGATGGGAAGTGGTAGGCCTCTACCGCCGGCAAGTGGGAGAGAGGACATGGCTGCCCAAAAGGTGCCAAGTGTTCTGACCAAGGCTTCCCAAGACCGTATTTAAGCACACGCTTAGTCCAAACAAGTCTCTTTTTATTTCAATGCTGGGAATTAGGTTCATTCCCAGCCTGTAATGAGTCCCAAACAGTCCCTTGAGATAAGCACCCACCTTTCTCTCCTTTGAATGGCTGCCAACAACTAAAGTGCCAAATGAACTGTAAAAAACCAACCAAAGTACAAAGTCCACACAGAGCTTCAAGGATTAATCCAAACAGAGTGAACGACTTTGCTTCCTGCAAAGGTTTCATCACCTTTGCCTGTCCTTTATACCTTAGGGGAGGGGCAATCACCTCCCAGCCTTACTCCCGAGTCGCCCCTTTTGTCTCAGCTGCTCTCGCCTTCTAGCAGCTCTGCACACACACACACACTGGGAACAGGCTCCCCTGGGTCCTCTGCCTCGCTGCTGCCAGACTCCAGAGGCTCCGGAGTTAGGACCCCACTCCCAGATGGTCCTGGCTTCATCCCTTGGATGCAGGACCCTCGCCCAAGTCCTCTCCAAGCTCCTGGACTGGTCCCCGCTTTTCCCCACTGTCTGATTCCGCTACCGGCTGCACCGGCTGCCGGCAAACCACAACACCAAGGCTGAAAGAATTCCTTCAAAGAATTCCCTCCTTCCCCCCTTACCTGTCTGCAACTGCCTCTGGGCATCCTTCACCGCCACAGCCACCTGTTCCCGGTGATTGGCACGCAGTGCAGCTGCTTCCCTCCACTGGGACAACACCTGTGCTGGGAGAAAGGAGAGGGCTTGAATATTTCCCGGGCCAGATTTTTTATCTAGTGGCAAGAAAGCATTGCAAGACCCTCACTGAGTTCCCCTTACTTTGGAGTTCATCAAAGCACAGCCCGTGTGTGTGTATGTGTGTGTGTGTGTGTGTGTGTTGATTCCTGTTGTCTCCTGCTGGGTCTGCAGCTGAGTTTGGGGACTGGCCTTCCCGTGCCCGAGGTTACCTTGGAGAGAAAGACTCGTCTGTAATGATGTCCGGCCAGCCTGGCCGCCTTTGCTTCCTGCCTGAGCTCAGCTGTGTTTTCCTTCCAGGATCGCACCACCTGCCTGAGAACCGTAGAGGAACAGAGGTCTCAAAGGGTCTGGAGCAGAGGTCTCCAAACTTGGCCACTTTAAGACTGGTGGACTTGAACTCCCAGAATTCTCCAGCCAGCATAGCTGCATAGCATAGCATAGCATAGCATAGCATAGCATAGCATAGCATAGCATAGCATAGCATAGCATAGCTGCATAGCTGGCTGGAGAATTCTGGGAGTTGAAGTCCACCAGTTTTAAAGTGACCAAGTTTGGGGACCCCTGGCCTTTAGGGTTGCCCCATAGCCCAGCCTGATGTTTGGGGGGAATGGCTTGAGGGCCGTCTTCCCGCCGACACAAGGGAGGAGCCCAGCCACCTGAGGAAGGGGGACCACCAGCACCGTGAGACGGAGTCTTGGGCATTACCGCAGCAGCTCCCGATTGTGGTCTCTCTCCTTCTGGGCCACCTGGTGAAGGAGGCACTGAATGTTCTTTTGGTATGCCTGGAAGGAGAGAAGGGCCAGAATTCTTGTCCACAAAAACTTATCCTAAGAATCATCTTCCTCGCATGAAAAGGGGTGTCAGGATTCCGGCAGTTACCCCAATTAAATCATGAGTCTCGAGCCAAACTTCCAAAACTTAAAAAGGATTTATGGGGAGTTAAAATGTCCGGCACTGCCTGGGTGTAGCCAACTCTGAGACACATCATTCATGGTCACTCCTTGACCCTGGTTTTCCCCCACCCCCCAGGTGTATCATAAATCATATTCTCCAATGGGACACGTCCATAGTCCAGAGTCATCAGTCATGTTCTCCAGTTAGAATTTTGCCTGGCAGAAACTTCATTCACCTAGTTACTATCTTTGAAAAACTATTTATGGACTGCACTTTCAATTTCCAAGCTGCCACATTGCTCCCCCCCCCCCTTTCTGTTGGCAACTCTAAAAAGACCATAGAAATATTTTATGAGTTAACAAGGGGCTTGAATGTGTCACCCCAGACTTGGGAATGTTTATCTGTGGGGCAGAGACCCCCGCCCCCTGCTGCTTAAGGACATCACTGAGCACCAAGAAAAGACAAACTTCACTTTTGTTGGTCCAACTAAATGGCGTAAGTGTGCACCAAATGTTCATGTTTTCTATGACTTTTCATCCAAACAGTGCAGGGCTCTGACAAACCCTGTGATTACACCACTTAATGACAGCTCTGGTTGCCGTTCTTAAGCAAGGACCTGACACGATCGCGACCTCCAACTTCCCGCTGGCTTTCTCACTGACTTTGTTCTGTGTGAAGCTGGCAGGGAAGGTCACAAACGGTGACTGTGTGATCACAGGATGCTGTGACAACCTAAGGACAAGGCCTGGTCATAACTACCACCTGCTCAGCACCGTTATAAGTTTGAGCGGTCATTAACTGAGGACCATTTGTGAGCTCACTCCATTGCTTGATGAAAAATGTCTCTTTTTCTTTTAACTAACTGCATCAGCAATCCTTTCCCTTCCACCGTTTCTATCCTGCCTCATCCCTTTTTTCACCCGGTCACAACTCTCTAAGAAGCGATTTCCAAGCCTTTCAGACCTTCCCCCGTCCTGCCGAGTCTGCCCAGCCTTCCAGCCTCCAAACCAGATTTTGCAGAGATGGAGGACAGGCTCTCATTCTCTTCTCAATGGGGAAGAAAACCGCTCCCTCGGTTCAGCTGCAGCCAGCAGATGTTCTGGGGCTGCCCAAAGCGCTGCCAGTCCGAGCCTGGCGACCTACCTTCCAAGCTGCCATGACCCTGCCCAGCAAGGACTGTTGGTAGTGCCCCTCAGCTTGGGCCGTCTTCTTCCACTTCTCAGTCTTCTGCATCTGGTACTGGAAGGGAAAAGGAGCCTGGAGCAGGACTTGCAGGGACGGTCCAGGAATAACAAATAACACACACAGAGAGAGAGAGACAGAGAGACAGAGAAAGAGAGAGTGAAAGAGACAGAGAACAGGACTTGCAGGGACAGATCCAGAAACTAGGTAACATGCACAAAGAGACAGACACACAGAAAGAGAAAGAGAGAGAGAGAGAGAGAGAGAGAGAGAAAGGGAGAGAGAGAGAGAGAAAAAGGGAGAGAGAGAGAGAGAAAGAGAGAACTTTCTGCAAAGCAGCCATCGCGGGCCAAAAAACTGTGGGTCACACTTCTTCCCAGAGGAGGTGCACAAAGTCATGTCCCTGGCATAGGAACTTCTGTTTGACTTCCAGTGGCACTTCCGTCGAAGACGGATCGGAGACTGCGATTGTGCGTGGCTTCGATCTGTGCTATACCTATTGGAAGGTTCCAAACAGGACCGGATCTACCCTGGAGGGGTGGTGAAAGAGGGGGAGACCACCAGCTGGGTTGAGGGGAGCCTCATCTCCCCTCCCTGGCTAGGTAGACTCCCCTTAAAGACAAGCTGTAGCGGCAGTCCTTAATGGCTGCCCTGAAGACAGGAAGCTATCTGGGAATTAAGTTTGTGCTGGAGCAGTGAAGTGGTGAGCGGTGTGTGACCAGGCAAAATATTTTGGATTTTTTTCAAGGCAACCCCGAGAAATAGAAGGAAAGAGCCCTCATTTAAGATTGTGGAAGCGGCAATTCGAAAGTCAGAGGGAAATTATAAGGTAAATAAAATTGGACTACAAAAGGATTGAAATGGAAGTGATATTATTCAGAGAAAATCTTTTAAACAATAACAGAATCAGAAATTAAATTTGGAATATTATACAGAAATTGGCATTAATTAGGCATTGATTAGAATGCTGGACTTGTTGGAATTGATTAAAAGATAGAATAGCTAATTATTGAAAATTAGCAGAATCAATACAACCAGGGGAAAAAAACAAAGAAAAGAACTTTAAAAAGTGGAAAGTGAAAAACTGATGCAAGAATGCCACCTAATGGTTAAAGGAACTTTTTTCTTACAATTTTATGGAAAATTACTGGTCTAGTAAATGCGTGAATGGGAAATGAAATAAAATACTATAACAACAACCCCGGAAGCAAAAAAAAGATTACAGCAAAGGGACAAGTGGAGATAGTATTTTGGGACTGTTTGGTGAGTTAAAGAAAGAGGAAACCTGCCTAAAAGAGCAAAAAGAACAATGGACATTGCAAAAAGACATGAAAGGAATTAAAACTAAGTCTGATGATAGATGTGATAAACAAAAGGGAAAATACTTCCAAGATTAAACAAAAGAAGAATATATAAGAAGAAATCACAAGTGAGATCAGGAGAGGGAGGGGGAAAATAAGTGAATGGGAGATGAAAACAAAAATAATAATAAAGGAAAAAAGAGGAGCTAACAGAAAGGACCGGAAAAACTTAGAAAAGGGAAAACTGGCTAAAATTTGAAGAAATTATAGGATCGAGAGACTAAGAAATGATGGTTAAAGATAAAGGGGGGACTCCACATGGAAATGTATTTTGGTCTTTTTTAGAAATATAGATTCGGGAGTTTTGAAATTTAAAGTTTATTGGGAATTACTTTCATAAATAAAGAAATAAGCTTAATTGGAATTAAAGGGGAATAAGACCTCATCGTAAGAATATTATATAATTACAATGAAATGGTTATATTATTATTTAAAAAGTGATGAATGAAAATTAAATACAACTTCATAGGTAAAATTTGGTTAAATGGAAACAGAGAAAATATGAATATTTTTAAAATTTTTATATATATTATATTAGATATGAAATAGAAAATGCAATTGATTATACAAAGGATATTAGAAAAACAAAGAATATAGTACATTAGAAATGACTATATTGTAAAGTATTTGTAATGAGATTATTATATTATGATTAAAAAGATGATGATGAATGAAAATTAAATAAAATCCCGTAGGCAAAATTTGGCTAAACGGAAACAAAGAGAAATATGAAATGGTTATATGAATATCTCTGGAATAAATGTAAGATTCATTGTAGATTGCAGGGAAATACCATGTGAATGTATTCGTTTTATTTTGGTTTTGTTTTTTGTTTGCTACACATTGGCTTTGAGAAAGTAAAAGAAGAAAATATGTAAAACAAAATAGGTAGTAAGCTGGAAATGAAAATAATAGGGGACAAAGGGTGGAAAAAATGTTCTAGGAATGTTTTTGTTACTGGGTTAATGAATGGAAAATATGAAGCGAAAATTTATTTAAAGATCAATGGTTAATGATAAGGATTTGATATGAAACTAGATAGGAAAGCTGGAGATGTAACTATGACTATGAATGTATATTGTAATCTGGAATCACATTGCTGACTTAAAGAGATGTATAAAAAAAAATCTAAAAAAAAAAGAGAGGAAATTCCGCTAGCACCTCTTCCTCTCCTGGGGCTCCCCGTTTCGGAGGCAGAGAGCGAGCTTCCACTAGCAGCCCCCTCCCCCCCCCTGCAACCTGGCTCCTTCAAGGCTCGAAGGCTTCAGGTGCTTGACCTCCAAGTTGAAGGCACTCAAGCAATGGCAGCCGAGGAGCAGAACTCCCATCAAGGTAAACCTCCCAGAATTTCCCTGGAGTAAGTGGTTTGCTGGGTGGGGTGCAGGTGAGCGGCTGTTGTCAGATGGGGGGAGGGTCCACAGGGAGGCAAGGCAGGTGTGTCAAGGCTTGGGGTGCAAAGGAGACCCAGCAAGGGTCGGGGACGGTTAAACGATGGTGCACCAAAGTGTCAGGGAAGCTTATGGAGAGAGGGCACCTCTATAAAACCACTATCAATAAAGCCGTTTCATAGGCACATTTAATTAAAAATTGTTTTGACCTTGCTTTCATCTTATCTCCCTTTTAAAAAGAAGCAGACCATAAAAGAATTTTGGTGCTCCCCAGTCATGGAAAGAACGCGGATGTTTCTCCTGAAACTTCCTTCTCCTTCGGACAAGTTTGGAAACCTTCCTGCCTCTACCAAGGGCCCCCTGCCCTGCCCCTGGCCATGCCCCGTGCACACCGTAAGCGTCGCAGCGTTCATCTTTTTTTAAAAAAAACCCAAACGCCCCCAAAGGAAGCATCGCGGCTTGGGTGGCTGCCCTAAAGCAGGAATTTCAGCTGCATTGGTAGAAAGTTCCCGATTCCATCCATCAGCCTCTTGCTTAGTTTCTGCCCACCCCGGCCACACCCGTGCTTGGGAGGGTTGGTTTTCCCGGGAGAGCCTCCGTGGCATCTCTCACCTGCCGCCACTTCCTCCACGAACGCCGGAGGAGCTTCTCAGAATGGGAGTGCCAGGCCGCTGCCTCCTTCGCCTGCCTGAAAGAAGCACAGGGGAGCCGAGCTTTGGTGGCAGCAGGTCCTCGGCCGAGATGCGGGCAGGTCACGAGGGAAGGAAGCCAGATTTTAGCCTGGGGAGGAGAGCTTCTTAAGCGGAGCTCCCCCGTATTGCCTGAAATGGCACTAGAACAGGGGGCGCCAACCTTTTGGACCTCAGGGACCACCCAACTCATAATTTTAAACCCTGGGGACCACTAATATGAATTTTGACTGACAGTGGCTTGCTGACGTTGGTGGGAGGGAGAGAGAGAGAGATCTGGTCTAACCTCCCCCTGTCCCTCTCTCTCATACACACACACACACACACACACACACACACACACACAAACACACAGAAGCAGAGGTGGGATTCAAATTTAACAACCAGTTCTCGGGCTTGGCCTAATTCGTGGGTGTGGCTTGGTGGCCTTATGACTGTCTGGGCATGGCTTGCATGTAAATATTATAAATATTTATGTAAATATTGAATATTTTATTTTAAAAAGAGCAACTTTTACACAAAATCAGGCAAAGCAGGCAGGCAGTTTGAGTTGCTCATAGAATCACAGATTCACTTAGATATCTGTGTTTCTGCCATCGGCTATCTGAGTCTGTCACATAAAATTTGCTTGCACGCAAACTCATAACATTTGCTAGCAAGGAAACTCACAAAATTAACTCACAACATACCCATACAGATCTCAGGGAGCTCCAGGGCGGGTCCAGCCTGAGGAACATCCACCAGGAGATCCCTGCCATTAAGTGGAACCAGGGCAATGGTGGGACCCAAACCGCCTCTCAAGCACCAAGAAGCTCAAGGCGAGGGAGGAGGCCATCCCGGCTCCTTTGCCTACACACAGTTTCTCATTCAAAGCCAAGCCCATCTTTTTTGCTAAGAAGGTCTGGGCTCTGGGCTCCAAAGGGGCCCTGCAAACATTGTCAGACATTCTAAGTGAGGGGCCTCCATCTGCCCCCCTTGGGAGAAATTTGGGAGAGAGGATGGAAGCAAGGGAAGCCTCTGTGTCCTATACCGTCTCACCCACTAGCCCAGAGGTCTCCAAACTTGGCAACTTTAAGACTTGTGAACTTCAGCTCCCAGAATTCTCCAGCCAGCTATGATGCTATGCTATGCTATGCTATGCTATGCTATGCTATGCTATGCTAT